AAAAACAACAGTGAATACTATTTTATAAGTTAATTGACATAAGGAAATCTACATGATTGTATTACAGCTCATTGATACCAAAGTAATTTGTTCATGTCAGTCATTAAAGCTACAAAGTTCAATCCCTTATGTACTTATGTGGTGTGTGCTACTTATATTGGCATAAGTAGTATGTAATGTTAGTCGTGAACAGAAAGTTTGGCAGCAAAGAGACAAGAGGATCGAACAGTGAAGAATGGAAACAGAATGCATTTTGTATGAAAATGTAAGAACAATGAAATCTGAGTCATTTTGAGATAATTGGTGGACATTTTGCATTTACTTTATGATTGTTAGATTTTACTAACATGTCCTGTAATTTCGATTGTTCCCACTGGTGTTCTTGTTTACTACACTTATGGTTATACAGTATTGTGTAGTCGTATGAGAAAGCATAAAATTGATTCAATGCTCAGTAACTTTCAATACTTATCTAACAAAGAAGAATCAGTGATTGTAACTATAAATTATACCATAAATGGTAACTTCTGATGCTAAGAATGAATATATATTCAAGCATATATTGTTGTAAGACTATGATAATCATACGTTACCTTAACTTTATGATAAATATTTAACAATTGAACATTTATTGATATTTAATAGTGGAATTCATGAGTCAATTGAAACTGGATTACTATGGGACACCTGAAGCACTGGACGGCCACTTCGTCCCAACGTGGGACTCCTCAGCAGTGTGCATCAACTATCCCGCCTCATGGGATTCGAACCCAGGACCTATCGGTTCTGGATTCTTTTCAATATCATTTGAACGTTTTACCACGGCATACTAATAATTGGCATGAATGATACATATGAAAGTATTGGCATAGCTTGGAAAAACCTCTATGGAAATTTATCAAAATACTAATGAATATTTGTGGAGACAACTTATTGAAGGTAAACAGGTCGTTTTTAATGGAAAAAGCACTTAACTGACGACCATAAACACTATGAAGATAATTCAGGTTCATTTCGAACGACTAACAGACTAATCGCTTAATAACAACATCAAACAAGTGACATCTATCATTCTATCCGATCGTCGATTCACTGTTTAAGTTATTATTGATTAAATGAATTTGATAAAGCTATCTGAACCAACAATTATGAAAAACCAGGAAACATGTTAAGTATCTGAATTGCAATGTGATTACTAAAATGTAAAGCCAAATTGAAACATGTGTACTGTCACAAATGATACATTCCAAAAACGGATCAGATTAATTCATTTGGTATTGTTTACTTGATTTTTCCCATTATTGTTTAAGACCTCAATTGATCAGTTTCTTAATGGTATACGTGCATCCTGTAAGGATTGCATTGATATTGTTTTAAGTCAAAAGCATTCTATTCAAAGATAGATAGCGGCTAGCAGCGAAATTCAAAATGCGCGTTTCGTCCTATATGAGACATGTCAAGTGGATGTACTTGCATTCCACAGTTGATGTTCACTCAGTAACTCAAACCCAGTACAGTTCGCTTCAAACGCCATCGTTTTATCCACTTGACTACTGAGTTCTCAAGACCACTTGCTTTCGTAATGGCATAAAGTTTAAATTCACTTGATGTTGTTTGCTTGTATCTTCCCATTATTGTTAAGGATTGCAATTGATCAATTTCCTATTGACAGATATGCATCCTGTACGGATTGCCATGATATTGCGTTAAGTTACAAACTTTCTAAGCAAAGGTGTATAGTGACTAGTAATGGAATCGAGGACGCGAGTTTCGTCCTATTTAGACCCCGTCAGCTATATGTACTTGCATCTCCGAGTTGATATCCACTCCGAAATTCTGTAATGCAGGTACATCCAGCTTGCTACCTCCAAATAAGACAAAACATGCGTCCTGAATTTCACTACTAATCACCATTCATCTTTACTTATAATAGATCAGATTAATCTTCTATTCAGTTATATAAAATGATATGTACTAAGTTTTATTATCCTAGTTCACATATTTACTGAATAACTAAATACTGTCTCTAAATTTGTTTTATTATTCTCTCACATTGAACTACTAATAACCTACTGTCTAAACTAGTGAATAATTCATTGTCCGGCTGTTGTTGTTGTTGTTGTGATTTAGGCTACTATTGTGTTCTTTTACAATATGAAATAACACATAAAAAGAGTAATTTGTTTAGTTGTCGAATGCCTAATACCACATTGTTTTTATTAGCTTCTCTCTTCTAGATTTCTTCTTCTTCTTCTTCGTCTTCATCATCTTCTTACTAATGTATATCCGGAAACTAATGTAAACAATAGACTTATGTCTAGACAATAATACCTTTATGTATATGTATCTATATATAACCATATATATATATCTTTATAATAGTCAATATGATATATTATTCATTAATCATTTGTTTTGATATTGTTCCTAATTTATCCCTTTTTAAAGGAGTAAGAAAAAGAGTATACACTACGGTAAGATGTTTTGTTTAGTTTGTATTCTGGTTATATCTTTTATTCTCTTGTTGTTGTTGTTGTTCTTCTTCTTCTTTCATTTTAATCAACGTAATTAGGGAACATATATTGAATATTATCTATGGATACATGTATATATTTCTATAGTTGTGATCATGAGTCAATTGAAGATAGACTATCATGGAAAACCTGGAAGTAGTCGATGGTCATTTCGTCCTAGTATAAGATACTTCAGTGGGGTTCAACTGCGACTAGTGTGACGTAGTAACTCATTGAAGACAATAGTGGATGTGTCATTCAATTTCGTAAATTAGTTGAAATTAGACATCAACACTGTTGGTAACCGGTTTGATGGTCTAAAGGTTAAGCGCTCGCGCTCGAGACCAGTAGATCCTGTGGTTCAAATCTCGTAGATGAGCATTTCCAAAGAGGAGTCGCACAATAGAACGGAACGGCCGTTCAGTGCTTTCAGGTTTTCCATGGTGGTCTAGCTTCAACTGACTCATGAATTCCACCATTAAATTACAGAAGGAATTTCCATAAATCTCATTTGACTTATTCATTGGATAGAAAATTACTGTAACAACTAAAGTAATAAGGATTGTAAGAATTTAATTGAAAAAAAGGACGATTAGTTGAGAGGATTATAGTGGCTCACCAAAAGATTTTTCTCTCATATATGGTAACGTAATTATGCTAAAATTATGGTAGATAGATAGAATTTCTAAACCATTATCCATATTATAATCGAAGATGGATGGTGGCTTGCATTGGAATCCAGGACACACGTGTCGTCCTATTTGGAACTAGTCAACCAAATGTAACCGCATCTGAGTTGACGTTCCCTCCGGGGCTCGAATCCAGCACCGTTTCCTTCAAACGCCATGGCGTTATTCACTCAGCTACTGAATCCTGGTAGCCACCTGCTTGTGTAATGGGGTGAAGTTTAAATTCATTTGCGTCTTGGATTTCACTGCTAACCACCATCAGTTCTTACTTATAATGCTTGTGAATCAAGGCAATATTGAAGCAATCCGCACAAAATGCATATATGCGAGTAAGAGACAGATCAATTGCAGTCCTAAACATCAATGGGAAGATTCAAGTAAACAATACCAAGTGAATTTAAACTTCACCCCATTGCATAAGCAAGTGGCTATCAGGACTCAGTAGCTAAGTGGATAAAACAATGGCGTTTGAAGCGAACTGTACTGGGTTTGAGTTACTGAGTGAACATCAACTGTGAGATGTAGGTACATCCAGCTAACGAGTTCCAAGTAGGATGAAACGCGCATCCTGGATTCTACTACTAGCCACTGTTCATCTTTGTTTATGATATTGTTGTTGTTTTACAAAAAGTCGGTATTGAACTTTTGAAACTTAAATCTGTATGATAGTTTTAGGATCGGCTTAATCGGTATTTTTTCTGTTAAAACTCCAATGTTATAAACATTTTTTGTAAGACATGAGTGCCTACTATTCATGGCATCAGTAATGTGTTGTGTGCTTCTGATGTCAGCAAATATAACAAGTGTGTATCATCAATCGGAAGTGAAATACCTGGCAGATCGACGAAAAGATAACGAGAATAGAGAATTATTGGTATGGAAACGGAGGAACAATCAAGTATTAGACCATTCATTAACATTTTGTAAATGAAATATTTACTACACAGTTCTAAGGTTTTACTAAGATGTTCAGTAATTTTTTGTTCAAATATATTCGATTGTCGCTACTTGTGTTCTCACCCACTATATTTGGTGTCGTTACCAACCAGGAAGGAGCATTGGTGCTTTTCTGAGGACGCAGTTGCAGGCCTGAATCCGAAGTGACAGTTGGGAAGGTCTGGTGCAGTTAAGTGACGTGTTCTGGTGGGGCGGTGTTGGCTGTGGCTATTTCTGTCGATGGAGAGAAGCTGTCGGACATGCGGCTGCTGGCGTATATTGGATGTAGATGGCTCAGCAGGTCACTGATGCACAGGCGTTGAATGTGCTGGGTTGTGAGTGTACGTCCGGTTTCGATGGCCCGTCAGGTCGACGGAGATATGAAGGTCAACTCGCCACAGACTCGACATTTTGATGGAGAGTGTGGCACGGATTGCAAAAAAAAGAAGAAAGTGGCATAGAGGGCAAAACCACCGTAAGAACGACTGCTTTAAAACAGGGATGAGTGTGGTGTATGCTACTTATGTCAACAGATATACCTAGTATGTATCATCAATCGGGAAAGAAATACCTGGAGGTAGAAGGTTAAGAAGATCGAAGAAACGAGGATGAGAACGAGAACAAAGAATAATTGGTGTGGAAACGAAGGAACAACGAAGTCTGAGACGAATGATTGACGTTTTGTAAATGAAGTGTTTACTATATGGTTCTCAGATTTAACTACGAGATATCATTATTACTATATAACAATACAGTAGACTATTTCAATTAACTTTTGATTATCTCACAAAATGTTACCATCTCAAGTATGATTCCTTAATCACTATAATAAAAATTTGATTGTCAATCATATATTACTTACCACTACAGAATTCCGGTTTTCTTAATTCAACAAATTTATCACTTAAACAATTGACAACATGAAGAAAACAAGTATTACGATAAGTTTTTCCATTTGATCCACAAACAACTGGCCAACCATATGTTTGAACTGGTGTTTTCCAAACAGGATCACCAAATACTTGTGTTTTCCTTTTATTTAGTATACCTGTAGATGATGATGAGGATGACGATGCTGAAGTTAATGTTTCTTGTCCATTTCTAAATGATGCATTACAATCTAATGGTAGTTTAGCACAATCCATACAAATTGGTTGACCAGTTAAATGATGTGGACTACATCTCATTTCAGCTCTTGGACATTGGATATTAGAACAAGTAGCTTTACCTGTGAATAAATTTAAATAACTTTAGTTAGATATTAATCATTTAAATGAATTATATGAAATTAAATCATTTACTAGTATAAGGGTTGTGGAGATTATTAGGTTTTTGATTGAGATCATGAACCGATTGATGTTAGACCACCTCTGGAAACCTGGAGGCATTGGACAGCCGTTTCATCCTATTGTGAGACTCCCCAGCAGTCCGCATCCACGATCCCGTTCGCGGGATTCGAACCCAGGGCCTTCAGTCTCTCGCGCGAATGCTTAACTTCTAGGTCACTGAGCTGGCCAGCATCCAACCTCGACCAATCCACGAAATTGCGTGACCATCTTCCATTGTACTGAGGTAGATACCTGTCTCTACCCGACATGAATTAGCTTCACTGGTCACGGCTTCTCACTAGAACTCCGAGAATTCCCTGACGAAGCTAGTCACTAGTGAGCACATGTTAATCACTAGTATAAGGGTTGTCGAGAGTACTAAGTTTTTGACTGGGATCATGATCTCAATCAAAAATAAATCATTTACTTTTGAAGTGGACGGTACTGGGTTTGAGTCTCAGGATGAACATTAACTCTGTGATTGTTGGGTATGTTAGATCCCCAGAACTCACTTGGTAAATACCTTATTCTTGTAATTTTATTTTAAAATTTTTAATTTCTTGTTTTCGCGCCGAAAGCGCTCATTTTCACCTTCATGTTGTATTTCGCACTTGGGAGAATCTTAAACTCTATTGGTTTGTTGTATCTTTTAGTATGCTATTTTGTAACGCTTCCCAAGGACAATTTATTGATGTATATATCCTTTTGATTTGTGCCTGTCATTATTGCTCGTGCTTCTGGCTGCTTGCGGAATATATTTCCCCGTTTGAACTTGGACTTCTCTCTCTAGTTAAAGGGCTGGGATGCATCAGAATAGCTAGCTTATTGGTCATTGGTCACAGAGTCTTTGTTCCGTTCGCAGACTAGGTGAACTCGTAATAGCTTCAAACATAGCAGAGATACAGGTACATTCAATTGACGAGTCCCAACTAGAACGAAACATGCGTCGAACTGGATTACACTGCTAGCCACTACCCAATTTTGTGAATTAAAGTAATATCGATGCAATCCGTACAGGATACACATATGCCAATAAGAGACTGATCAATTGCATTCTTAAATAACGATGGAAAGATTCAACTAAAACAATGCCAAGTGAACTTATAAGTGGTATTTCATACCACTTGAATAAACGGTGTTCTTGTAATTCAGGAGCCCATTTGGTAACTTTTTTATTCCAAAATTTTCGATACGCTGGCTCCAAAGTCCTATATGGATCGTCACCAGAGATCTAGACATATCTTCCTGATGAGTTCCAAAGGAGGAGGGAAGAAAGAGCATACCAGATTTTACTGCTAACCATTATTTATTGAATTACTCATTTTAGATGTAACACAGGTTATGGGGATATTAATGAACTAAACATTGTTTTTATCAACCAGAAGTTTATAACTCCTCAGTAATGTAGAACGCGACTTTGAGTTTTCTAGTAAACAATCCGATAATACACAGTCCAGCAAAGAAAATTTTCTTTTGAATAATGTTCATTCCGATAACATTTCCAAATAAACTATTACTATTGAATTGGTTCACATACAATGATTTGAATTATTCTTTACTGGTTGCGTTTTTTTGTGAGTCAGTTTTCTACGGGATGGGGTCGCTAACCCCTTGCCCAACCCTCCTCCTTTATCCGGGCCTTGGACCGGTAGTAGCCCAAGAGGAGCTCCAGGGGGGAGTACGCCGAGAAATGGAGACGAACATTAAAAGAACTAGAAAGGAAGGCTCAAGACAAAGTGGGTTGGAAAATGCTGGTTGGCGGCTTATGATCCATTGGGAGTAACAAGCGTAAGTAAGTAAATAAGTAAGGTTCAAATGCAAACAAGACAAAACACTGTTAAACATTAATCTAATATGACATTTAAGGGAGCGTGTTTTTTGTGAAAATATGGTTTGCTTAATGGGAAGAATTCATTTTGGGATATTACTGAAAACTAAAAAGTCACTGGACAGTCATTCTGTTTTAATGAGACTTCTCAGTTGTTCATATTCACAGCCATCCCTACAAATCAAACTTAGAACATTCAAGTGCTAAAATGAGTTTGAAATAGAATAATCCACATCTCCAGCATCAGTCAATTAGTAGTATACCATGACCATCATCTATCCTCAGCAATGCTGATTATTTCACTCACAAAACACCACGGGCTCTAATCGTACCGTAAACATCGGCTACCTCACCTGAAATTGTAGATTTTCCTTACTCATGAGTATTACTTAGTATAAACTCTAAGTTAAACAGGACTTCCTGTTGACTCTCAAAAATCACTTAGTGCCTAAATAGCTTAATGAAGTTTAAACAGTCTGACTGACTAATAATTATAGGATTAAATATCAGGTCAAACGTGAAAGAGATTAAAATAAATATGCAGACAATAACAGGACAACGTCCAGGAACAACCAACAAAGATCTAGATTGGCAATATCAAGCTGCCAGTCGTACCGATGTATGAAATTTGGATAGTTTACTTCTGTCTAACGTTTATCCTGTAGATTTTGTTCATATGACCATTCAGCTCAGAGAACGAAGCTCTCCCACCCTTGATTTAAATATCATAGAATTTTAAACCAACCATATAATTTATCAAAATCCAGCGATTAACTTATCATTCATTGCGTTATAATGAACCAGTATCTTGGGTTTCAAAACTATTCCAAATTGATATAAACTCATATGTATGAGAATACATGTTGTATACTGCTTTGTGTTCTTAGCTCTCAACTCACGTGACAAGAGAGATTGCATACAAGGATATAGTACAGGAAGAAATAATTAGTTCGCAGAAAGAAAGATATGAAGCGATTTTAATCTCATAGTTTAAAGGAAGACAGAGAGTGTATACACCTGAGCCATGTCACCAAGAGCCTTCAACGTTCGGTTACGTTAGTCACGCGGATCGCAACTAAGTAGTCTACATCTACCAACATGTCTCAGACTAGAAATTATTGACTTCAAGCACTGACGCTAATTTTTGGTTTGGCCGCCCCTAACTTTCTTCCAGTCGTCTCCAACACTAGTCAGCATTGCGAGTAGTGGTAATCGGTGTTCAGGCATATGTAACACGTGGCCCAACCTCACCAACAGATTTATCATAATTCCCTAATACTCTGAGTCTAACCTCACAATTACTTACCCGGTGATCGCAGAAGGTGAAAGTAATATTTCTAAGGCATCTGTGGTCAAATACTAGTAGCTTACGAGTATTTTCTACTCTTAATGGACACGTTTCGCAGAGAATGATCAGTGTAGAAACAAAAGAACAATGAAATGTGAGACAATTGACTTGTATTTGCAAAAGGAATAGTTAAGTTTGAGACCATTGATTGATACTTTGCAAATGAAGCATTTACTGTATCGTTCACAACAATACTTTCACATCAATTCTTTGAACCAAAGTAGTAATGGAATTAGCAATACAACTCTCAATTTGCTTCAAGACTCAATGGCTGAAATATACGTCAAGTTGAGAGTTTCTTGTTAATATAACAAGTGTATAATTATTATCAGTTTATGGTTCATGTGAGATAATTAATGTAATTTGATGAAAAAGTGCTAGTGACCTCCATCAGATTATGTACAATCAGCCAGATCATGCTCTCAAATGCCTTGGTACAGCTGAGGGTGGAAAGAATCTGCTATCCCTCTCAAAATGCTCTCACTTTGCGGCGCACATACGGTCACTGTCAAGTAAGTTCTACTAACTGCCTTCTCGCGGCGAGGGAGTTTTATTTCGCGAAATTGAGAGGACGAAAAGCAAATATCCGGCTCTTTAACCGGGTTGGTGGATATAGAGGATCCATCTAAAGGAGTTGGAGAACCTTAATCCCAAACCATTGGTGCACATGGGCCCCAGGATTCTAAGGAAACAAATGGCACATTAAGCAATTATTGGTCGCCAGCTACCATGAGACTATATCTCCTGACGTTGCTCCACTGCCTTGTGGATCATACCTTTAGGTTGAAAGTTCCGGATGTGGCTCCCTAAGAAATTCACCTGTTCCGGTCTGGGCACCCGGGCAGTATTGCAGCCCACACACAAATCAAGTGACTTATATGGGGCATGTGTATTCGGTGCCTCTTTGAACCAATATTTACGTGTTCAAATAAAGAAATAAAGATCAATCAGAAACATGAATAAAAGAGGTCAGAATTGAGATTATTTGATGTTATTTTATGGTGCCAAGGGATTCTATATTAATATTTTAAAAATGATATATGAAATGAAAATGAGTTCAATGCCCATACAGTTGGAGAAGCTGAAGTACATCGATTTCTAGACACTAGGCTTGCAAACAGTAATACCGAAATATGGTCAGAAATATTACTATCAAATTTAAGTTATCATGGGTTCAGATCCTGAGTGCGGGATCGTCGATGCTCACTGTCAAGGAAGAATCCTATACTAGAACGAATCAGTTGTCCAATGCTTCCAGATTTTCCATGATGTCCTAGCTTACATTGACTCATCAATTCAACTATTAAAATCAATATAGTAAATTACTAGTTTGGATCTATATTCAGAGCATTATGAACTATCAATGAAATCCTATAACAAAATAATAAGTCAATTTATCTTCACAAATCAGTAAATATATAGATATGAACTCATATTGTGATGTAAGCTACTTATATCCACATAAGTAGTATATGACGATAGTCAGGAATAGAATGTATTTCAGTAAAAGATTGAGTAGGAAAGAACAAAAACGGAAGGTGATTGGTATGAAAAATGCTGGAACAATGAAATCTGAGACGATAAACTGCTATTTACAAAAAGAACAGTCAAGTTTAAGACAATGGATTGATATTTTGCAAATTAACTATTTACTGTATTTTCATTAGTTGAGATCATGAGTAAATTGAAGCTAGACCAGTATAGAAAATCTGGGAGAACTGGACGGCCTATTGTGGGACTCCTCTTTGGTAGTCCACATCCCTGACCCCACCTTGCGAGATTTGAACACAGGACCTGTCAATCTCGCGCATGAGCGCTTAACCACTGAGTCCTCCGGCATCCAACCGTGTTAATGACTAACTTCAATTAGTCCACGAAATGGAATAACACATCCACCATTATCTTCAGTGAGTTACTATCTCACAACAGACCCGGTTGAACTTCACTCGTCACTGCTTCTCACTAGAACTCCAAAAAATACCTTTTGAAGCCAGTCATTAGTGAACATTTGATGATTAGTATCAGAAGAGGTATTTGTGGATATTATAGCAATTTAAATGGTTAAAATCATGAGTCAATTAAATCTAGACCAGCATAGAAAACCTGGAAGCACTGGATGACCGTTTCGTCCTAATATTGGACTCCCCCTCGGTAGTGCACACACGAGATTCGAACCCAGGACCAATCAGTCTTGCTCGTGAGCACTTAACCTCCAGACCACTGAGTCTACTGGCATCCAACAGTGTTAATGTCATCATTTAACGTTCTTATTCATTTACAATATAATCAAAACTAAATATAACTTACTTCGACATTCTCCTTTATATGCTATTCTTACTTCTAATTGATTTTTTAATCCAGCTAATTTAAGATCACAACTATTATAAAATGTTTGATTATTTGTACTACATATTGGTTCATGAAATGTTGATTCAGGACAATTATTTAATGTTTTCCATGATTGTTCACTCCAATATTCACATGATGGACGTCCATCAAATTGACGTAATAAACAATATTCATTTGTATTACATATTAATTCTTTAGATAATTCATCATTAGAATAAATTGTCTTCTCATCAAAGATGGATTCATCTATATTTGATATATATGTATTTAGATCTGTTGATGTTCTACGATTCATAATGATGATATTATCATCTAGATTGTTTGTATAGTCTTGATTATCTGTTGTTGTTGTTGTTGATGATGATGATGATATTGTATTTGTTGTTGAGATTGATGAAGTCGATGATGGTAATGACGAAACATCTTTTCCTTCTTCATAATCATTATATAAAGTTTTAAATAATGAATTAAGATTGAAATTTTTTTCTGATAATATACTTAAATCGGAACATCGTAAACCTTCATCCGGACATGGAATTACTTCAAGACTTTCTTTTGGTAATTTACAACGTGCTTGTTTTAAATGACATTGATTATGAAAACGTCTTAAATTAGTTGTACATAATGGACCAGTTAAATAATCAGCTGTATTACATTGTAATCGACATTTACATTTTGGTTCATTATTAATCATACGACAATAATGTCCTTCAGGACATACATATCCTTTACATGTTGAAGGTAATTCTAAATAATAAAAAATGATAGAGATATGATAATAATAATAATCATTGAAAGAAAGGAAATGTGAAGATTTTTGAGTTTATGCAAACTAGATTAGAGGAAAGTGGCCCTCTTATCTCATACATATGAACAAATGCAAATAAAGACAATTAGTGTAGCAACAGTCTTTGCATTAGTAGGCCTCAATCTACATAGGGGAAAAAAGCAGGACCCTCAAATACAACATAGAGAACACCAACCGAATCACACTTGATGGCGAAAATCTAGAAGATGTAGAATCCTTCACGTAACTAGGAGGCATCATCGATGAACAAGAAGGATCGGATGCAGACGTAAATCCATGATTGGCAAAGCAACAACACCATTCCTACAATTGAACAATATACGGAACTCAAAACAACTCTCTCTCTCTCAATCAATCAACATCAAAGTCACAATCTTCAATACGAACGTCAAGTCAGTTAGTTCTACTGTACGGAGATGAAACTTCCACAATTACTACAAACATCATCAACAATTTACAAGTATTTATGAACAGTTGTCTACACGTGATACTCAGTATCCGTTGATCGGATACCATCGACAACAGTTTACTGTGAGAGAGAACAAACCAACTTCCAATTGAAGAGGAAATTGGGAAAAGATGATGGAAATGGATAGGACATACATTACGGAAATCACCAAACTGCATCATGAGGCAAGCTCTAACTTTGAATCTTGAAGGGAAGTGGAAATGAGGAAGGTCAAAGAACACATTACATCGGGAAATAAAAGCTATTACGAAAAGGATGAATAACAAATGGAAAGTGCTGGAAAGGATTGTCGAGGTCAGAGTTGGATGGCGAGTGTTGGTGAGAGGCCTATGCTCCTCCACGAGGAGTAACAGGCGTAAGTTCATAGATCAGAGGAACGTTCAATCCGATTCGAACTAAGATACATCACTTTTATGTTAAATGTTTGATTATAGTTTAACAATCAAACTGATTAGTGTAAGTGAAACATAAACTTAAAGTTAAGAATTTTCCAGTGGATTAACACTTAGCAACAACCGATAACCATGATTTTTTAGAATACCTGTTTAGATACTTCAACTTGGTTGATACATACAAATGGAAATATCAAAGTAATTTCACTCACCTGTCCACCCCTCACACACACATAGACAAAGGTAACTTTAGCTTACTAACACTAATATGTAAATACCGCAATTTAGGACTTTGGACTGAATATAAGTAAATGATTGTTGCTTGTTTTTTGCACACATAACCTGTTGAGAAAAGTGTCAATAAGCTGATGACATTTGACCAAAAGCTAAGGAAGATAGAATACTGCACTGACTAAGGAATATCCCATCTAATTTATTGTTTCTCTGACATAGTGTTGTGGACTTTAGATCCCCGAAACTCATATTTTGTAATTTTATCTTTGTAGAACTTGTATGCAGATGTATAGTTGGGCATTTCTTACCACCCACGCACATAGTCAATTGACGAACTTATCGATCAAATGTTTAAGAACTTCCATGGCAATATCGATTATATATATTTTGTATAAATACGCTTGGTTTGTGTGCTTAAGGGACCTGGTATCTAATGGTTGTCTGCAGAATACACTTTTCTACATCTTACCAAGACTTCTGGATCAAGTTAGCTGAATCAGGGACAACGGACCAGTATAGCCTATCGAGTCTCTGAATCGTTGATTCTTCGTTCCGTTCCGAGTAAGACGAATCAGTAGTAGCATTCAAGTTTAACGAACATAACACATAGTCATCATTTTTGATGAAATATGATATTATATCAGGCCTAATCTTTAAATACTTCTAGGAATGTTTTAAACTGTGGTAACCGAGATGGAAGTCTATCTTTATGAGAATAAGTTAAAGGGTATAAGATTGACAAACCCTGAACTTTGTAAACTATATGTTTTTTCTAATCTCTATGTGTTATATTTATTGAATATTCAAGTCATATTGAGAAAAGTGGTCTTAAAACCAAATCTTTTTCAGTGAATCGCTGTTATATCCTGGCAATAATACTGAATGGTAACGGTTAGAATCGATTTATGGGCTAATACTATATGTATTTTATAATTTTGTAATTGTTAAGTAATTAGACTATTCATATTCATGTTTCCCTTATCATAAGCTTAACTTTGACCTACATACTATTATTATACGATTTACCATTCTTAAGTTATGTCCAGCCTATCAATTACTATTTCCCACATTCACAACCACATTTGGCTTAATCTTGTATAAATGTTTTTTTCCTATTTTATGGTACGATGTGGTCTGTCTGGTTGGTATATAAAGCGCAGTATGTTTGAAATACATGATTCATATCACGGAGGTTGAAATTGATGTTCTGGATTCAACATTGGTGGCACGATTAGTCAGGAAACAGGACCGGTAAATACTCTAGACTGCTCGTACTTGTTTTATGCGTCATTGGTTCATTCGATAATTCACTGTTCTTTAATTGGTGGTATCATTACGTAATATATTAATAGGGACACAATTACACTGTTATGCATTATAATGGACTTCAGTTATTCAGTGTTTAATTTAAGAAAGTCACATCAACATCTTAAATCCAAAGATCGTTCATAATAGTCTAAGGATGATTCTTTCAATAGGTTCTTATTTTAGGGAGAAAAAAAACAATTAGACACTCCACTATTTATGATACATTTTGCTTGGAATTGATAACTTTGAATAGCCAGTAGTGAAATTAAATATGTATATGTATTCGTATTGCACAAGAAAGTGGCTATCAGGACTCAATAGTTAAGTGGATAACACGATAGCGTTTGAAGCGAATGGTATTGGGTTTGAGTCTCAGAGTAAATATCAACTCTGAGATACAAGTATATCTAGTCGACAAGTCCAAAATAGGACGAAACATGCGTCCTGGATTCCACTGCAAGCTACTATCCATATTTGTATATTTCTCATTGTTTCTTAACATCTACATCATCATTCACAGCAACTAGAAATCATATTCCAACAAGGATTTAATAAATTAACATTACAAATAAAAACAAACTGAAAGTTCACAAGTGTCCAGTTTCATTATTCATTAGTTCTTATTCCTGATGGAATTCTCCTTACTAGATTGTAATCAGATCAGTTCTAAAATCAAGACAATGATGAAATCAGTTACTACTCACTGTCAAAAACTCAATTCGTACAGGGAGTAACTCGTAGTTCAAATCATATTATGATAACATTTTTGACCGTAACACTAGGTAACATCCTTTCGAACACCATGGATATCATAAGCTCTACCTCAGCATCACAAAAAATTCTCCCTAAACAACATGCTTTCTTGATCAAGTAAAACTTCTTATCAGTATTGAGTTGTGGAGATTATTAAGTTTTTAATTGAAATCCTGAACTGATTGATGTTAGACCATCGTTGAAAACATAGAATTAATAGACGGCCATTTCGTCCCATTGTGGGGCTCTTCAGAAGTGCACATCCACGATCCCGACCGCGGAATTTCAACCCAGGGCCTTCAGTCTCGCGCGCGAATGCTTAACTTCTAGGTCACTGAGCTGGCCAGTATCCAAAAGTGTCAATGTCTAACCTCGACCAATCCACCAAAATGGCGTGACCATCTTCCGTTGTACTGAGGCAGAAACCTGTCTCTATCCGACAGGGATTAGGACGAAACGGTCATCCAGTACTTCCAGGTTTTCAATGACAATCTAACATCAATCAGTTTATGGTCTCAATCAAAAACTTTGTATGATATTTATTCTGGTATATAATGACTTTCATAGTAAATAAACTATAATATCAATACTATTTACCTTCATTACAAGCTTGAACACAATTTGGTGTACCAGATTCAAATAATAAATGATCCGTTAAATATTCTTGTTGAGTTATTTGACGATTTAAATAGAATCCACCACGTTTACAACATTCTAATTGTGATATACTCTCTTCCATTAATCCAATACAATTACCACTATTTAAACGTTTGGCAAAACATGATCCAGTTGTCACTGTTTTAAATTTAAAGAAGAAGAAGAAACAAAATAGAAGCGGTGGATGAAACAGAAGGAAAAGCTTATAGTAAACTGTTAGATTAATGGTTCTTTTTTCTGGTTAGCGTCTTTTTTCTTGCAAGTTAGTTTTCTACGGGAAACTTGGAGAACTACGAAAGTAATCATCCAGAAGATACAGGTGTTTATTGACAGTTGTCTATGCAAAATACTTCGGATCCATTAGTCAGACACCATCAACAACGACCTACAGTGGGAGAGAATAAACCAGATCCCAGTGGAGGAGGAAGTCAGGAAGAAGCACTGGAAGTGGATAGGTCACATGTTGAGGAAAGCACCGAACTGTGTCACAAAGCAAGCACTCACTTAGAATCCTCAATGCCGAAGGAGAAGAGGAAGACGAAAGAACACATTACACTGAGAAATGGAGACAAATATGAGAAGAGTGAAGAATAATTGGATAGAACTAGAAAGGATTGTCCAGGACAGAGTGGGTTGGAGAATGCTAGTGTAAAATGAATTTTTCATAACTTCAGTTCGCATATTTATTGAATAAAGTAATATACCTCTTCATAGGTTTGTAATTGTAAGGACGACCCACAGATGAATTCGAAGAAGCTCTAAGAAGTTCAGAAAAAGCCAAAGATATTCCATCCAATCATGTCTTAAAAGGATATCCCAGAATCTCTAAATGTAACTTCCCTATTGAAAAAAACACTAAAACTCTTGTATACGAACTGGATGACTATAATGATGATTTCGTTTTCACTAAAAAAAGATAAACACATGAGAGTTTCATGTCATATTGGACACTGTTTACAATAGAATTCCTTCTCAATTGTCTTCTATATTTTCATTTATGACTTGGATGGTTCTAGCATTCGAGTGTTCCAGTTGTACATGGTATATCAAAGAATCTAAGCTCTATATATAACAGTAATTGTAAACTATTCAACACGTAGTCAAAATTAACCACTAGTTTCTTCAATACACATTTGGTTTACTCTTTTGAAACAGAAGAAATAGGTACATATTGTACCGATTATTATGGATGGGTTTTATGTGATAATGGTTTTTAGGAATCGGATCAAGGATGCATGTGATTCAGTAACATACTGTAGTTGTATTGTCTTTAAGTTTGTGACTTGTTTGAATATGACAAATGACTTAGGCAATATTGTAATGTTATATCAATCAGCTTCTGGTTAGTTTATACATCGTCATCATATACCAATGCATAGTTTTCTTGAAGAGAAGAATTGTATTCCTTTTATTTAGTGCAGAAGTGAAACTTGATCATGTATACAATCATTATAAACTTGTAGTGATCTACTTTTATCAAGAGAACGCGATTGGTTTAATGGTAACAATGATTATTATAACCAATTGCACCAGTGATTGTTTTACTGTACTTGTTTGTTTAACTGTACTAAAGACATACATTCTTCCGTTGCTTATGATCTTGCAAGCACTAACGTTTGCCCAGTGATTCCGCTTGTACTCCTATGGCATGGTCTCGGTACTCTTTCGATACCACGAGATCGTCAACAAATATATCTCGCTACAACCACCAATCGCCTTCTGATATCTGGTACGCAACTCTCTTGTAGTGGTGATCACAGTCAACTGTGACTCGACGCCACACTACAAACTTATAATCATAGATGAATATTTGAATGGGGATTTGTGGAGATTGTAGTAATTTGACAGTTGAATTCAAAAAAAGATCTAAGTAAGAACATCATTTAGATCGAAGGTAATGGGTTCGAGTCTTACATGAAGGATTGTGAATATACACTGTCAAGGAGTAATCCCATACTAGGACGAAAAAGGTCACTCATTGCTTCCAAGTTTTCAACGATGATGATCTAGCTTAGATCAACTTGTGAATTCACCTGTTAAAATATTTGAATATAAACTAAAAGTCTATCTATAATTAAGCTTGAAAAACGGGGTAAATCAGCTTGTAATAAGTATTGTTTCATCATAGATATTGGATGACATAATAAAGAAAATGACATAATACTGATCGGTTGGTTTTATTTAATACCCAAATCAGGACTCTTTTGTTTAGTTGAATCAATAATGGTATATGAGATCATTTGAATAGATACCTGGTTACTTTCTTTGTTTACAACTGGATGTTTAATGGTTGGAGTATTCAGAACATGCGTTTCATCCTATTTGCGATTAGTCAATTAGGTGTGCTTGTATTCTGTTACTAATCTTTACAATAAAACTAAGATATAATACTTATCATTTCAAGTATACTACTTATTATTCGTAATAGTTTGTATTGTCTCATTGTAGATATTAAGGACTGGATTGAATCATTCTATGATAGACCATAAGTTCTATTATGAAACAATAAATCCTGAGTTTCACCCTTAGGATGAATGAAAATAACACTGAAATCACGGATCATTGTAAATGAGACAAAATATCTATTATATTCACTTGGTATTATTTGTTTGAATCTTATTGGCTTATGTGCATTCTGTGCAAAATGCCTCTATATCGCCTCAAGTCGCATGAATAATAAAACAAAGATGGATGGTGGCTAGCAGTGGAATCCAGGGTGCTGAGTTCGAGTCCCTGAGTGAACATCAACTCTAAGATGCAGGCATATCCAGCTGACGAGTCGCAAATAGGACGAAACGCGCATCCTGGATTCTACTGCTAACCACTATACATCTTTACTTATAATATAGAATATATTTGTAAACAAAATATGAAGAAAAATAAAACGGACAGTAGGTATAGAAATAATCTTAAGACTCACTTGCTAAGTCTAATTTACCCGAATGTAAAGATAAAGAGGCTACAAACTTGATTTATCATAGCCCTTTTGTTGTATATAAAAGATATGATTGAACCTGATAAAGAAACGTACCAAGTATACGATAAACTACACCAAATGATTTGGTTCTATCTACTAAATGATGTTTATTAGTCAACTGTAATAGAATGAAGGTGTATATTCGTTTTGTCATACCTTATCACAAGCACACAGAGAAGTATTGATTAACTTATTAACAAAATTGTCTAATTGTAACCACCTTCCACCCACCCACCCCTCACCGCTTTAATGTAGTTCTTTGAACAGAACAGTCTAAAGTCATGGATACATATAAATATAATAAAACTAGGTAATTTATCCTTTAACTCTATTCATCATTTTCTTTCATGGAGAGGTAATATGAAAAGAGAAACTAACTTCATTAGACCATTATCACCTTTTTGCTTCTCTTTTATCTTTTTGTTCTATAATATGAACAATACATAACAAGAATATCTTTCTTTTCCATTTGGAATATAATATAGTTGACAAATGAACTTGTCATTAGAAACGGATTTATAATGTTCACTATTGTAATAGTAGTAATAAAAGAATAATAATTGAATAGTTGAATTCATGAATCGATTTAAATTAGATCATTATGAATAGTCTGAAAGTATTGGATAGTTGTGATCAATGGAAATTAACTATGTATGTTGTAAAGCAGTTACTTACTGAAAATAATGATAGACGGTTGAGTAATATCATGGATTGGTTGAAGTTAGATATGAACACTGTTGGATTCCAGCTCAATGGTTGCATACGAGATCGAAAGTCCTGGATTTGAATCTCGCTTGGCGAGATCGTAGATATACACTGTCAAAGAGAAGTCCTACAAAAGGACGAAACGTCTATCCAGTAGTTCCAGGTTTTCCATAGTGGTCTAGCTTTAATTAACTCATGAATTCAATCATTAAATTACTAAAATATCCATGCCCCCCTCCCATTCTGATAAAAGAATAATAGTTTATTGATCATAGATTTCTTTGAATGAAAAGAAGTAACTATTTTTAATCGAATGTCATGCTTCTTAGAGATGACTTTGAATGATACTGATTGAAATCACTGACAATACTACTATCAATTTTCGTTATAACATTTCACTATATGAGCAGTTTACTCTGTTGTATATATTTAAGAGAAAGTGATTTGATACAACTTGACAAATTGAATCATTCAAATAGTTCATAATGTGGGTGATTATAACAGAATAAGAGTATTATTATCCGAATAATACCTATAGCTTATTAGAACTTGCCAGAACTTGTATTCTCCTATTTCTCATACTGAGAACTATAGTTACATAATACTAGCTTGCATAAGCTTTGATAGTTGATGAAGCTTAAATGGGCCGAAACTCATCACTAGTATTCCACCATTAATTACATTGGAAACATACTAAAGTTTTTGTATTTGGAAATTACAGTATACAAATAAGTAAATTAGTCACTAAGTTTGAATATGTTGTTTGTTTTTATCTAGACAAAGATGAAGAACTATAAAACTTCCTTAATGTTCAAGGATAAAACAACTTCATAAAGAATCTGAACCTCTACATACGTACGGTATGGTTTGTCAGTAAGTATTTGATACAAATGATTAAACTGTTTACCCAGTTAGATGATAAAGTAGCTGAGTGGTTGTAGATGTCTGATGGAACAGTTAATGGTCACTTATTCTTATTGCATGATTCAAAGATATTAACATCTCATAGACATATAGATGAAAATATTCAAAGTAATACATTAGAATATTGAATGACAACTGATCATTCAAACAAATCTCATAGTGAATAGAGTAGAAGGAAAACACTTAAAAGAAGACAAATCATCAATAGGACGAAATGTATGTCCTGGATTCCACTGTTAGCCACTATCCATCATTGCTTACAAAAAGCTTATGAATTAAGGCTATATCGAGGCAATACGCACAGGATGCACATATATCAATAATAAGAGACTGATCAATTGCAGTCCTAAACATCAATGGAAAGATTCAAGTAAACAATATCATGTGATTTTAAACTTCAACCTAATGAACAAGTTAGTGACTAACAGATTCAATAGTGAAGTGATTAACATGATGTCACTTGAAGCGAACGGTATTGGGTTCGAGTCTTAGAGTGAACATCAACTCTGAGATGCAGGTACATCCAGCTGACGAGTCCCAGATAGGTTGAAACATGCATCCTGGATTCCACTGCTTATAATACATTATATGATTGATGGTTGTAAGCATAATAATGATCTTTATTGTATTTCATGTCTAAAAAGTTCTTAAGTTTGACAACAACAAGAAAACAGTCTAATGTCAGCACATGTCTGACAACAAAAAAGTGACCTCCATAAAATAATATTAGTCAATATAACCTGTGAAGGGGAATTTCTTTGATGATTTGTTTATTACACGAAATTAGAAAATAATACTAGTAAACAAAATTAATAGTATTTTTACAAATTATAACTCAATATTAATACTAGTGTGGTGTGTACTACTGATGTCACTAGATATAAGTAGTATGTATGATCAATCGAAATTGAAATGCCTGGTAGCAGAAGATTAAGCAGATTTAAGAAAAGAGAACGAAGACAAAGTATGATTGATATGGAAATGATGGAATAACCAAGTCTGAGACAACTGATTGACATTTTGTAAATGAAGTATTCACTGTATGGTTCTCAGATTGTAGTAAGACATTTTGTAATGTTTATACTCAAATACAATTGGTTGTCCCCATTTGTGTCCTCGTTCACTTCATGATAACTATTAAACATCGGAGAACATTGATAAATTTTTTGTATGTTTCATTCTCTACGAATGTTTACTGATAATTCATTATAAGCAAAGTTGGGTTATAACAAAGTATTTCTGATGTATCAAAAGGGGTTTTGTGACAGGATCATGGATGCGCACTGCTGAGCAGGAGTCTCACAATAGGACGAAACGGCCATCCATTGCTTCCAGATTTTCCATGGTTGTCTAGTTTCAGTTGACTCATAATCTCAACTATTAAAATATTTCAGATGTATTTGCGATACATAGTTGGATATAGTAACAGAAAGGTCTGTTTCATGTAAGCTTGATACAATTTAACACATATCAGTAAAGTACATCACCAATCATGAAGCAATTAATGTTTTCTCTCATTGAGATTCAAGAGTGGGTCAACTGATGTCATAGTTGAAGGAAGTCTATCACAGTTTGAATAGTTGAGTGATGATATCTTTAGGTGACAGATTTCAATCGTACATAAAAATATAATTTCGCCTCAAGACTATATATACACACGCATACCTTCTTGACAGGTACCAACTAGCATGAAACTCTGATCAATGCTGGACTTCCTAACGGCTGATTACAATCACCTAACATATTTTTATGTTTCAATCAAAAGTGACAACTTTGTTGAAATATCATTCGTCTATCAATTACAGTATTAATCTATGCTGACTAACATAATGAATTAATCATCAGAAATAAGGATTTGTGGAGAGTGTTGTATTGTAACAGCTGAATTCACAAGACAATCTAAGCTAGACCGTCATTTAGATCGAAGTACATAGGTTCGAGTTTCACGTGAAGGATTGTGGATGTGCACTGGCAAGAAGGAATCTAATACTAGGTTGAAAATGATCATCTATTGCTTTCAATTTTTCAATAATGATATGAACACAAACATTGGTACAAGTAAGCAGCAAACAGATATGCGCCATATAAATCATTCGATTTGTGTGAGGGCTTGGTTACTACCTGGTGGTTTAACTAGGGGGTCACAGTCAGAGCCTTCGACCTAAAGGTCTAATCCACAAGGCAGTGGAACAATGTCAGGAGATGCAATCACATGATAGCCGGTGACCAACGATTGATTCATACGCCATTTATTTCCTTAGGATCCTGGAGCCCATGTACACCATTGGTTTAGGATAAGAGTTTCCCAACTCTCCTAAATAGATCCTCCATATCCACCATCCTAGTTAAATCGCTGAACATTCGTATTTTCATCCTCTCAATTTCATAAACAATACCCCAATCACAAAAAAAAGCAGTAAGTAGAACTTCCCTATCAGTAGTTGTATGTACATGACCATTTAAGTGTACTTCAAGAGAAACAACCGACTCTCTTCACTTTCAACCATACCATCAATTCAATAACTATGATCATTTATCAATCAATCAATCAATCAATCAATCAATAATAACATAATCAATAATAATCAATAATGATTATTTTTTATTCAACTAACCTGTAGTACTTTCAATACAATAATTGATGGATAATAAATTGATAATTAAATTAATTAATAATCCTGATAAGAAATAAATTTTCATTATAGAATATCCATACCATAATGTATTATTGATATGATGTAATAGAATCATTTCTATATAGGATCTGTTTATAGATAGATATATCTTAATGTCTAAATGATATTTATCTCTTTCTAAATAAGAGTTCACTTCCTTTTTGATGAATAGTATATCACTGATGTATTATGACTAATACTACTACTATTAGTATTATTATTAGTAGTAGTAGTAGTAGTATATCTATCTATGTATCTAGGTATATATCTGTATATACATATATATATATATATATGTGAATGGGTAACCAGGGATTACGTAACCGTCACGAATGTTTATTTAGTTCCCCTTTTACAAATAAACAACAAAAGAAAAACCACTGATTATAATAAATAACTTAATGAATAATAAACAATATTGAATAGAGATGATGCATGACAAAATGATCTAATTTGATTGTTTAATAATGATGATGATTTATATATATAGAGAGAGAGATGGATAAATGAATGATCTTTTATGAATGATGAATGAGGATGATGATTATAATGAATCTGGACTGCTTTTATAGTGGATTATGTATACACTCACACACACACACACACTCACACATTCACACACTCACACACACACATAGAGACCGCAAACATAAAGTGACACTAACAGAATTAATAGGATAATGATGATAGTAATAATAAACATAAACTGACCAATGTATTAGTTAGTTGACTAATTAACTATGGACTATTGAAGTGTTTGTTTGTTTGTTTGTGTTTGTTCGATGATCCGGTTGTTTGTTATTGTTGATTTTTTTATTTTTCTCCTCCATTTATTGTGCTTATTAAATAAACTAGCGATTCAGACAATCAGGTTAATTATAAGCGCGAACATAAATACACATGTACATATGTATATATACACACACACAGAAGGACATAATATTATTCACGCCTACATTGCTGAAGGAAATAGATTTGTACAATTATACTCTACAATATATAATATACATTTTTCAGTAAAATAGTAGTAGTAGTAGTAGTAGTAGTAGTAGTAGTAGTAGTAGTAGTAGTAGTAGTAGTAGTAGTAGTAGTAGTAGTAGTAGTAGTAGTAGTAGTAGTAGTAGTAGTAGTAGTAGTAGTAGTAGTAGTAGTAGTAGTAGTAGTAGTAGTAGTAGTAGTAGTAGTAGTAGTAGTAGTAGTAGTAGTAGTAGTAGTAGTAGTAGTAGTAGTAGTAGTAGTAGTAGTAGTAGTAGTAGTAGTAGTAGTAGTAGTAGTAGTAGTAGTAGTAGTAGTAGTAGTAGTAGTAGTAGTAGTAGTAGTAGTAGTAGTAGTAGTAGTAGTAGTAGTAGTAGTAGTAGTAGTAGTAGTAGTAGTAGTAGTAGTAGTAGTAGTAGTAGTAGTAGTAGTAGTAGTAGTAGTAGTAGTAGTAGTAGTAGTAGTAGTAGTAGTAGTAGTAGTAGTAGTAGTAGTAGTAGTAGTAGTAGTAGTAGTAGTAGTAGTAGTAGTAGTAGTAGTAGTAGTAGTAGTAGTAGTAGTAGTAGTAGTAGTAGTAGTAGTAGTAGTAGTAGTAGTAGTAGTAGTAGTAGTAGTAGTAGTAGTAGTAGTAGTAGTAGTAGTAGTAGTAGTAGTAGTAGTAGTAGTAGTAGTAGTAGTAGTAGTAGTAGTAGTAGTAGTAGTAGTAGTAGTAGTAGTAGTAGTAGTAGTAGTAGTAGTAGTAGTAGTAGTAGTAGTAGTAGTAGTAGTAGTAGTAGTAGTAGTAGTAGTAGTAGTAGTAGTAGTAGTAGTAGTAGTAGTAGTAGTAGTAGTAGTAGTAGTAGTAGTAGTAGTAGTAGTAGTAGTAGTAGTAGTAGTAGTAGTAGTAGTAGTAGTAGTAGTAGTAGTAGTAGTAGTAGTAGTAGTAGTAGTAGTAGTAGTAGTAGTAGTAGTAGTAGTAGTAGTAGTAGTAGTAGTAGTAGTAGTAGTAGTAGTAGTAGTAGTAGTAGTAGTAGTAGTAGTAGTAGTAGTAGTAGTAGTAGTAGTAGTAGTAGTAGTAGTAGTAGTAGTAGTAGTAGTAGTAGTAGTAGTAGTAGTAGTAGTAGTAGTAGTAGTAGTAGTAGTAGTAGTAGTAGTAGTAGTAGTAGTAGTAGTAGTAGTAGTAGTAGTAGTAGTAGTAGTAGTAGTAGTAGTAGTAGTAGTAGTAGTAGTAGTAGTAGTAGTAGTAGTAGTAGTAGTAGTAGTAGTAGTAGTAGTAGTAGTAGTAGTAGTAGTAGTAGTAGTAGTAGTAGTAGTAGTAGTAGTAGTAGTAGTAGTAGTAGTAGTAGTAGTAGTAGTAGTAGTAGTAGTAGTAGTAGTAGTAGTAGTAGTAGTAGTAGTAGTAGTAGTAGTAGTAGTAGTAGTAGTAGTAGTAGTAGTAGTAGTAGTAGTAGTAGTAGTAGTAGTAGTAGTAGTAGTAGTAGTAGTAGTAGTAGTAGTAGTAGTAGTAGTAGTAGTAGTAGTAGTAGTAGTAGTAGTAGTAGTAGTAGTAGTAGTAGTAGTAGTAGTAGTAGTAGTAGTAGTAGTAGTAGTAGTAGTAGTAGTAGTAGTAGTAGTAGTAGTAGTAGTAGTAGTAGTAGTAGTAGTAGTAGTAGTAGTAGTAGTAGTAGTAGTAGTAGTAGTAGTAGTAGTAGTAGTATCATAACTAATACAACAACGAATAACAATGATTATGATGTTGATGCATAATGTTTGTTTGTTTGTTTGATTTACGTGTGGTCTTTTCATCACAAATAGTACATCTATACAAACCATAGTAAACGATGCAATAATGTATAAAGGGATAGTAACAAAATATGCCGACTCACACTAATCAACAATACGTGCGTACATACATACACATTTTATCCGAATCACACTTATATCAAACGAGAAAACAAACGATAATGATGAAATAATTGGGTCAGTACAGATCATCATATCATAATAGTTTATAAAAATTTTTTGTAAAATTAACATTGTTTACTTGTGATCATGTAAGGTTAAATAATAAAGCATACCAGATTTATAGATAAAAGAACAGAATGTTTCGTCGTAGTATGAAACTCTTCAGTAGTGCGTATCTACGATCCCGCCCCGCAATGTTCGAACCCAGGTAGCAAGCATTAACCGGTGGAGTTCATCCGGATCCGTTGTGAGATGGTAACTTACTAAAGACGATGGTGGATGTGTCATTCAATTTCGTGGATTGATTGAAGTTAGACCTCAACACTGTTGGATGCTGGTAGGCTCAGTGGTCTAGAGGTTAAGCGTTCGCGCGCTCCGAGACTGATGGGTCCTGAGTTTGAATCTTGGAAGGCGGGACCGTGGATATGCACTACTGAGGAGTCCCATGATAGGGCGAAATGTCTGTGCAGTACTTCCAGGTTTTAGTCGGTGGTCTAGCTTCAATTGACTCATGAATTTAATTATCAAATCATGATTCAATTAAAGTAAATAGGGGAGAAGAACTCCTGTAGCTAAAAATCTCCCAGAATGTCAAGCTCATATGATTTCCAGTAATAATTTCTTTCTGTATCTTAGTGAGAAGTTAACAAATTTTGGATGTCAACTAAACATATTATCTATCTATAAACATATCAATGAAAGTTTACAAGAAGGTTGATGAGTTATGGATTGGCGTTTCAGAGAACTGATAATTCCTAATCAGAGTACTAGTTAAGCATTCATATGAAGTTTGATATCATGAAATTATCCATCCCACAGTGGCTTGTGTTTTGACTCTACATTTTTCCCAATCACCTTTCATTAGTAAAGGACTTCGCAGACCACCACTGAAAAATAGGATGCACTACATAATTGTATATAACTTGTACGGAACTCCTCAGTAGTGCGCATCCGCAAACATGCTATCGAGAATTAAACTGAAAACCTTCGGTCTTGCGCACGGAAGCCTGACTTCCAGATCAATAAACTGACAACCAATGGTATACATACTTAGTTTCAATTCATTAACGATATCAGGCAATCGTCTCCCATCAAAATCAATTGGTTCCGTTTCACTGGTCTAAAGATTAGACGTTTGCACACCAGACTAAAGGTCCTGATTTCGATCCCTCGTGCCAGTGTCATGGATGCACAGTTTTTGAGAATCTCATATTAAGGCTAGACAATCATTGTATTTCATGGGCTTTTTTCTCAGAATCAAGACAACTTATCACTGTCCTGGTTTTTACATTTTTATATTGTAGCCATTATATTAGTCATTTCAGTTGTTGTGCTTTTGTTAATTTGTTTCGTTTGCATAGTAACTAAAATTGAGCTCACTCATTTATAGAAAGTACATTATCTATTGAATAATTGAACTAGGTAGGATCACAAAATATTTATTTTACATAGTTTAGGGTAAATCATTTTTATCCTCATCAACACTACCACCATTCTTTTAAAAACTTCCCTTTTTTTATCGATATAGCTATACTATCACTGTAACCGTTGTTTGAAACATCTTCCAAAGTTAATAGAAGTTTGTCTCTTTAGTTGTCCTATCGATGATTGTCTAGACTGTATATCATTCTAACAGTATTCACTACTCTCATAGAAATACTTGATTCACTTGATAGGGATAGTTTTTTTTAACTGTTTCATCTCTTTTTAAAGCTCTCCTATTCCATACAAACGAATACATGCAGATGAAGACAACTAGTGTAGCACCAGCCTTTGCATTAGTAGACCTCAATCTACATAAGGTAAAAGAGCAAGATCCTCAAAAACAACATAGAGAACACCAATCCAATCACACTTGATGGCGAAAATCTAGAAGATGTAGAATCCTTCACGTAACTAGGAGGCATCATCGATGAACAAGGAGGATCGGATGCAGACGTAAATCCATGATTGGCAAAGCAACAACACCATTCCTACAATTGAACAATATACGGAACTCAAAACAACTCTCTCTCTCTCAATCAATCAACATCAAAGTCACAATCTTCAATACGAACGTCAAGTCACTTTGTTCTACTGTACGGAGATGAAACTTCCGCAATTACTACAAAGATCATCAACAATTTACAAGTATTTATGAACAGTTGTCTACACGTGATACTCAGTATCCGTTGATCGGATACCATCAACAACAGTTTACTGTGAGAGAGAACAAACCAACTTCCAATTGAAGAGGAAATTGGGAAAAGATGATGGAAATGAATAGGACATACATTACGGAAATCACCAAACTGCATCATGAGGCAAGCTCTAACTTTGAATCTTGAAGGGAAGTGGAAATGAGGAAGGTCGAAGAACACATTAAATCGGGAAATAGAAGCAGATATGAAAAGGATGAATAACAAGTGGAAAGAAGTTGAAAGGATTGCGGAGGACAGAGTTGGATGACGAGTGTTGGTGGAAGGCCTATGTTCCTCCATGAAGAGTAACAGGCGTAAGTAAGTAAGTAATCTCTTTTTAAAATATAAACTAACATATTGGGCAAAGAAATAGGAAAGAATTATAATCAGTAGGATAAAGAAAGCATGAAGCAAAACCTGAAGAGATTTTAAAACATAAGAATCTGAGGATAACAATCATATTGATAAGCAAACTGACACTTCTAATGACTGGCAGTCGAAAAAATGGAATAACACTCTCAGACTGACGATTAAGGAGAATGTAACTAATGCTAAGTTCAATTATGTTTATATTTAACAGAATTAGTAGCTCAGTTTGTATATTCATTGAACCGTTCACATATATATTGACAACCATTTTATATAAGCAAAGATGCATGGTGGTTAGCAGTGGAACCCAGGACGTACGTTTCGTCCTATTTGAGAATCGTCAACTGGATGTACCTGCATCTCAGATGTGATGTTCACTCTGGCACTCGAATCCAGTACCGTTCACTTCGAAAGCCATCGCGTTATCCATTTATCTACTGAGTCCTGATAGCCATTAGCTTGTGCGATGGGATAATTTCTTAATTCATCTCGTATTGTTTGTTTGAATCTGCCTATTGGTGTTTAGGACTGCCAGTGACTAGTTTATGAGGCCCAAATAGAATGAAACGCTCGTCCTGGATTCCACTGTTAGCCATCATCCAATTTTGCTCAGAATGATTGTAGTTCAAGGCAATATCGAAGCAACCTTCACAGTATGCACATTTGCCAATAAGAGACTGATCAATTGCAGTCCCAAACTGTTATACACAGTTTTGTCAGGATTTTACCGTTAGAACGTTTTTGCAATGAAATGTAACCTTTCATGATGGTAGATTAACCACAGACGGATCCTGATGACTGTCTCTCATGTTCTAGTAAGAAATCTATCTGTGATTTTAGATCTACTAAATGGATTTCAGTCAACACTTGGGTTTATAGACAATACATTAGTTGTTACAATTTAAGGATTTCTTGATCCCAATGACTATTTTAAAACCATTCAGTTGATCGTAAGTAGCAGTAATAAATTATTTTTGATTGAGATCATGAGTCAGTCGATGCTAGAACACCATAGAAAACCTGGAAACACTAGATGGCCGTTTCATCCTACAATGGGACTCCTCAACAGTACGCGTACAACGATTCCACACGCAGAATTCGAATCCAAGACCTTCGGTCTCGTGCAGCGAACTCGTAATCTCTCCACCAGGAAGTCGGCATTTAACAACGTTAATGCATAACTTCCATCGATCCATGAATTGCTGCACAACCATTCATCCATTATTTGTGGTAAATACCTGTCTCTACCCGACACGGATTGAACTCCATAAGTCACGGCTTCTTACCAGAACTCCAGGAAATCATTTTGACACCAGTCACCAGTAGGCACATGATGATTATTATCAGTATAGGGTTGTAGAGATTGAGTTTAGATTGATATCTGATATAACTTGTGGCCTGTATGCCCTGTTAATGTATAACGTAATGATGCCGCCAATTAGAGAATAGTGAATTGCCGACTGGACCAATGACGCATAAAACCATAAGGGCAGTGTAGAGTCCTTATTGGTCCTGCTCCCTGCCTAGCCCAGCCAATTAAGTCCAGAATGCCAGTCTCAGTCTCTGCAATATGAATCATGTATTTCAAACATACTGGGTGTATATATCAACCAAACAGACCACATCGTACCGCCAAAGAGAAAATAACATTTGTACAAGATTTAGTCAAATGTGGTTGTGAATGTGGGAGACAGTAATTGATAGACAGGGAATAACTCAACAATGGTAAATCGTATAATAATAGTTTCTATGTCAAAATAAAGCTTATGATAAGAGGATCATGAATATGGGTAGTTTAGTTACTTGACAATTATGCACAAAAAATATATGTATAGTATTAGTTCAGAAATAGATTCCAACAATATCATGAATGAATCAATATTAGATAACTGAAAACCTGAAATCTCTAAACAACATACGAGATTGTGATAACTCACTACTGAATTAGTTCCATTACAATGACAAAATGACCATCTAATTCTTTCAGGTTTTCCATCCTACTTTATCAATGATCAATTCATGATCTCAATCAAAAACAAAAACTATACAATCTTTATAACCCCCCTATACACAGATCTATATTCTTTGCCAAAATAAACATTATCATGACTTTTCAAGGTGAAATGTCTAGTTATCATTCATTCATTCATTCATAAATAAATAAATAATTATTGTCTTTATGGAAATTTATCTACTTCATTGTTTGTTTGGTTTGTTTGTTTTTATCCATGAAAATAGTCAGTCAGTCAGTCAATGACCTTATGATTAAGTCTTTACCATAAAAAAAAATAG